ATATTCATGTTGTATCTCAGCAACGAGTGATAAATGTGTCGAACGCACCGCCGGTGTCCATTCAACGAAAAGGAAGTGGCTGTTGGGAAATCAAGCAAGGTACTAACAATATTTCCATGGTTTGTTCTTAAACATTATCTTGCTAGTCCCTTGCACTGTTCTGCAATTGTTCTTTGTGGTGCTTATAGTGCCCGAGTTTTCCACTACGAAGATGGCTTAATTGGTTAATTTCAAACCAGTCATTTTTTAGCTATCTTTATTACAAAGTTTCCTTTTGATAGTGCATTAATTGTCGTGTATCACCTTGTGGTTTTCATGCTAGTTTCTTTCTCAGGATCTGGAGGACTTGTCTCATGTGTAGACCCGGTGATGTCTGTAGACAAGGAGAACATATGGCTTTCAAACCTGGGAATTAACATCAAGGAAGAAGAGCAAGATGAGTTGGTGAGTGTTTCCTCTTTAAAAAATTCCAACTCCGCGACACTGCTTTCGTTGAGGTATGTTTTGTTTCAGAATTCCAATCGGCCCCAAAACATATCGCGCAATTATAGGCATATAAAATATGCATTGAAAACATAATCACAAGTATCACTGTTATTACATTAAAAGTTTTGTCTGTTTCTGATTCAAAAGCTCATTGTTTCAGGATGTACATCCACCTTCAACCAATTCCCTCGGTCTTCCTCTTATCAAGCAGGCGAGAGCTGGTGAAATTTTCCATGTACTGGAGGAGAATGATAAAAAGCAACAACTTACGGACAGGGAGCAACTTGTCGAGTTAGTTTCTAATTGACCTTGAAGTTATCTCATTGAGATATTTGAGATCTATTTCAGGCAAGACATGTCTCTCTTGTCTGTTTTGCACGACTACAATAAGACGAACTACCAGTTGAATCCTGTTTTTGTAAGCCAAGTAAGTTCACATCATGTCATTCTGCTTCTTTTTTTCCCCAATTTTCTGTTAGGAAGACTACAACGCATACTATGGTGGCATCAGCAATGGTTTACTGTGGCCTGCTTTGCACAATCTTGCTGAGTATATTGTCAAGGAATACGATGATCCTGCTGTAAGTCGTCGTTCATTAGTGAACCTGTCATTGCATAGTATCAAGTGAACTGCAGAGCAAAATTGCAATTACCTAAAAGCTTGTTGAGGAAACTGATGAAAATCAAATTGAACAAAAATCGTAGTTGTTTTTTTTTTTCTTACCGAAATTCCATTTTAGACTCTTCGCGAACATTGGTGTGCCTATGTACGCGTAAATTACCAATTTGGTATAAATGCCGCTAGAAACAGTCGTCCCCAAGATTTTATCTGGATACACGACTACCATCTCATGTTGACTGGACAAATTATGCGGAGTTTAGACAGTAATCTTGAGGTATCTAGCTGTATCCAAACACAATACTGTGAGATGTTTTCTCTTTGGCGTTCACACTCTTATTGCAGGTCGGATTTTTCCTACACATTCCTTTCCAACCGCCACCAAATTTCATGACAAAGTATAAAATAGTTGCCGATCCCATTCTTCGAGGAATCCTTCGTTTTACTAAGGTTGGATTTGTCCTGTTCACGTATCCATCTCGCTTCATGTTCTATATAAATAAGTACTGTAGTTCGTTCCAAGCTATAAATGATTTTCATCTCATCGGCTCTAGGTTGGTTTCCAAACACATCGTGATCGTGAGCGATATGTTCAAATGGTGAGAGAACACATTCCTAGAGCCAGAGTACACTTCGATTCTAGGATCGATATTTTTACTGTTACTTACGAGGTATACCCTCCGTCCCTTCTTCCCTCTTACTTTCCTGTGGTGATATGGGAACAGTTTACTTTTGTCAGGGCTGGACGTGTTCACTGGGAGTGTTCCCTGTATCTATCAAGAATGAGGACTTTCTTTCAATCGCCAATGAACCACAGTGTGCTATTGACGCACAAGAGATTCGAAATGACGTGAGGAATTCTTTCTTTTTTGCCTCTTGTACTTGATCTTGGATGTTTCGCCGAGATTTCATTATAAAGAAATGGTGTAGTTATATTTATGTCTTTCTCAGGTTCTTGGTAATAGCGGCCCAGGTGGATGCTTTTTCTTTTCGGTAGAAAGATTTGATTACACAAAAGGCATCATGGAGAAACTGAAAGCTTGGAAAAGGTGAACTATTGTTTTCTTCACTCTTTTTTAGATTATCTGAGTTTTGCTTGAAGGTACTTCGAGAAGCATCCTGAACGGAAGGGGCTAGATGTGTTGTATCAAATCGCTGTGACAAACAGGCGTGCTGTGGAATCGTACAAAAAATATCAGGTAGATCCTGCAAAGGAATAAATGTTCAGCGGAAAATCTTGTACATCGCATAGAATATGTTTAGGACAGCTGCTTGGCTCTTGCGAAGGAGATCAATGAAACCGTCAGATGTGAGGAACATCCAGAATGGAAACCCTTACGATTTGACACAGATGGCCTGCAGAGAGCACGACTAATAGCTCACTATTTGGCAATGGATATTGGTGTGGTTACGCCATCAAAGGTTAACCATAATCCGTTGGCTTCAGCCGAGCAGAAGAATTACCTACATTAGGTTCATCGAAGTCATTTTCCACTTTAGGACGGTATGAATCTGGTTGCCAAAGAAATGATGGTGTGCAATCCGTCAGCCTCTCTTGTGCTTTCCTCTGGAGCAGGAACTGAGGTTGGACTTAATTTGTAAATTCAGATGCTGCGTATCTGGAGGAGTATTTAATGTAATTTTAATTCTTTGCTCTGAATTAGTGCAACGTGTTTGTGCGAAGAAAAGTAGCGGACCTCATTCGAAATGTATCCATTCGCATTTGTTCACTGCAAATTTTCAGGCAGAAGTG